CCATATGGGCGGTGGACTCACCACGGCCTTGGAGAAGACGTGGTGTCGCAGCAGCTCCTGGAGTTTGTGTTTGGCCTGTAAAGAAGCAGAAGATCGTTAAGCGGCAACTGAGCGATCGTGTTTCGTTAGCGGCACCGATCTCAGACAGGTTCCCGCTTTGTGTGTTTGCTGCCGATTTCTAACAATATTTGATGACTTTCTGACAAATGGAATCTCAGCAGCTGGGCTCCAATAAATACCAGTTACAAAATACTCTTTCTAGCCTTATTTAAATGTGTAAAAACAATGACTTTACATGTAATATATACTGTTTATAAAAAATAGGAAGAAAACTATCCTTCAGGCAGCCGGGGTTTCAGAAATACAGAAAAAAAACTAAATTTTTCTGACATTAAAATACCTTTTCTAGCCGTGTTTTACATGAGAGCATGTGTATTTTTGGCTTTCATGAAGGATATCTACAATATACATTAAAATAAACTTTGAACTATTTACTGCTGGTTCAGAGTTTCTCTGTTTTGCTGAATTACAGACATTAGCTGGTAAAATCCCTCAAAGCACACATTTTAAATTGAACCCAGTGTTTTTGATGTTTGTGATTCACAGTTTAAGCATTTTTAAAAAGGAAAATGTAATTTACAGACAGCTGGAGTTGATGCTGATTTCAGGAGTAACACTTGAAACAGGTTTTATTGTCGGAGCAGCGAACGTCTTAAACGTTAAACTCTACAGCTGACTGCTGCAGTCGAGCACTGACAGAACTTTAATTTTTTAAATTATCTTTGACAGCAGCGCGGTACAGATGCAGAAACCGAAGCTGCCGCTATTTCATACATTGTTTCCCCAGAAGATCTGCTGCAGCATCACTCCGTGTTTCCTTCTGCAGATCTGGCCAATGAGTACTTACGTCGTGCAGCATGTACAGGATGCTGCCGTCTCGAGCTCGGTCTATCGCCTGGTTGGTTGGGACGAACACGGTGATCGGACCCGGACCCCTCAGAGGCGGCGGCGACCCACAGTTCTGCACAAACACAGAGAACCGCTGACGGGGTTAAAGGCTGCAGAACCTCAAATCCAAAATTTCCTGAACCTGCTGCAGCAACTTAGAATCAACAGAAACAGCTTCTTTGTATGACAGAGTGGTTCGGTTTCACCAGCTGAGGAGCGAGTAGTTGGACCAGATCTGCTCCAGAGGGACCTCCAGAACGGAGCTGCCAACAGGAACACACCACCAGCGCTGTCAGCACCAGTTAGACCGCTCAGGGATGGGACAGTGAACCCGTTTCCATCTGCTGGTTTTGGCTTTGGTGAAACAGAAAGACCTCCAGTGTGGAGCTCTCACTGAACTGTGACGTGTTCAGAGGCGATACTCACGTCCACCAGAGACAGGAAACGGTTGAACTTTCCATCTTTAGTCAGAATCTCTCCAACTGTCAAATCCGAAAACTGGAAAAGAAGAAGACGATTGGATGAAGTTTAATTTCATGGCAGCTGAAAAATCTAGACGGAAAGTTTCGACTCTAAAAAGCTGCCGAAGGGTTTCAGAGGCCAACCCATCCCTGAGATGACTGAATCTGAAACGGATCAGCTCCTGTGTGGACACGGACCAGAGACATGTGGTTTGTTTCAACGTCACAGAGCAATGAGGAACTCTGGAGGAGAACTCACCTGCTGGTCTCGAGCCGCCCCGTCAGCCTGCGAGCTGCTGATTGGCCGGTCGATGATGTGGATGATGCCATTGGCTGCTGGCAGGTCCTGCAGGATGATGGAGTAGAACCTGCTGGGATCCTCCATCAGGATGAATCTCTGCAGGTCAAAGCAGTAAACCAGG